TTGGCTTCAACCAAGACTAGCCGATGCTTGCGGTACGCCTAGCTTGAATCTAGACAGAGATTCTTGTTGTGAGCTAAAAACGTCTTGATTCAAACTGTACACAATTCAAGCACTCGGCTAGGCTTAATTCAAGAATTCATTTTTCTGGGTGCACGGATGCACTCCAGGCGAGATGTTGCCTACCCACAGGCGCTATGAGAGCTTGCGTGGGCTGAGCCTGGCGAATGGCGGACGTACTTTCTGGATGAATCATAAGCCCAATCTGTTGCCGACAGGAGCTGCCGTACTTCTGGAACACGATACCCAGCGGCGGCTCGTGGGGGGAGGTCCTCCACTACGAGCAGAACGCCGGCCGGGGCGGTGAGTAGAGTGGCCGCGCCGTCACGACTCCGCCGCGCGACGCCGCCCACACCACATTCACGATGACGGCGTGTTGTTTATAATTGTCGCCCATTCTCTCGTAATTGCAGTGCAGGGTTTCCGTCGGTACGACCACGGCCGCAAGAGGAACGTGGAGATGTACGGTTCAGCTGTGCCGCCGCTCTACGAGCTGTCCAACATCCGCGCGCCCGTCCACCTGTACCTCGCGCACAACGACGTCCTGTGCGCCGACAAAGTGAGCATTGCAGCGCCGAGAGTATAGCACGCGGCGTCCATGCCGGGAGCAGTACGTCGAGCTCACTGTGTGGCCCCCGCTCCGCTTGCAGGACATGGAGTACCTGCGCTCGCAGTTCCGCAACCTGGCCAGCGTGCAGTACGCGCCCGACCCAAAGTTCAACCACATGGACTTCTTCGCCGCCAGGACGGCGGACCGGCAGGTCTACCTGCCCATGCTCAAGCAGATGCGTCGCGACGCGGACGCGCCGTCACCACCGGCCGACGGCGGGGCGACAGCAGATAACGCCCTCCCGGACGAGGACGAGGCGTGACACCTGCAGGCGCCGCACCTGGCCGCCGCACCGCGGCCACACCTGGGCGGCCAGGTGCTTATCTTGGGGTGCTGCAGGTGGTGCGGCCGGTAGCGCGGGTGAGTCGGACATTCATGTGCCTCATACTTTTATTAGTCACACTCATATACCCCGAAAACAACGGTGTGCGACATCAAGTACGCAACGCGAACGCGCACGTGCGCCTACATTGTACTGGGAGAGCCTTTGCGCACGACGCGTTGTGATAGGGATACGCCAGAGTGGGCCGTGATTGGACTGGTAAAAATCCGGTAACGAAAAATCGAGTTTTATTTTTTTATGTAAATCAAAGTTCTTAGTCTTGAGAAGTAGTAAAATGGTAGCGCATAATTATTGCGCCGCTGTAGTTGTTTTTTCTTGATGCGGTTAGTCGGATGAGCTCAGCTGGGAGTAGCGCCACAACCGCAGTTCAGTAAGAGCCAAAGCCGATCTGAGTTGAGATCAGAGAGGCGTGACGGTGACGGTAGGTCGGTGGAAATGTCGGCTCTACGTGGTCAACCTAGGCCGTTTACGACACGAAACCCTCGGGACCAGTGGTCGCCTATGTCAAGTGTGGAAGAAAGAGACCCCTGGACACCGGACGCACAACCCGCACACTTGCGCGAATACTGAATCGTTTGCCTCGGCAGGTCCGCACTTCCGTCTTGGTCGGCAACGAACGTCGGAAACTAAAGATGTCGCTACGGACTTCCCCCGGTGCCGAAGGCGAGCACCGCGACCAGAGCCGCGAGCCACAGCGGCAGCCCCGGCCCCGAGGCCTGCGCCGCGACCGAGCCAGCGCCAGCCCGGTCCTCGGCCATGAGGTCCACGATCTGGTCCCAGAACGCCATGCGGTCCTCGGCACCGAAAGTGTTCTCGACGCGCGTCATCGTGAAGCTCGCGCCGAAGTGGAGGTACGGAGGGCGCCGTCGGCGGGCGGGATCGGCGGCCACATCGTGGCCCTCGAGGAGAGGAGAGCTCCTGTGAACCAAAGACTCTTCATTCGAGACAAAGCACTCGAGCCTCGCTTTTATTTATTCTCTTTATAACTAGATCTAATTTCTTGGAAAAAGTGCGCATTGAACCATAATACAGTTGTGCCAATAGTACTCACAGTGTTTTTGCAAAGTCGGTTATAAGCCTTACATGCTCTCTCAACGCGAAGGCAGACCGGCTTTCCGCGGAAATGTTCTGGTGAAGTTCTGTTGCAGTCACTCGAAACAGGTATCCCAAATCGTCCGCATGGACAGCGCCTGGCAGTAGAAAAAAAAGTTCCATCAAAGAATCATGATGAAAGAAGATGACACATTTCTATCGAGAGAAAAAAATTTCGCTTATAAAAGCAAAAGTTAGAAAGATGATACATTAAAAAAATCTATTTTATAGTAAGTTTAAGTTTGTTACCCGTGACGTTGGTGGTCAAGTTCATCCTCTGGTAATTGTACCCATCGACGACGTCGAAGAGGTATAGATACATTGGGGCCTTCTGCGAGTCCAGCGTGCGCACCCAGCGATAGAGTGGGTACACGTATCTCAGGTCGCCGACCAGCTGCAGGAGAGACGGGGTCGTAAGCTTCGCACCACCGAACCTCTCTAATCGCTCATCACCGCTCTCACGTTTGCCAGCATCTCCGAGTAGTCGGGGGAAGGGTCCTGTCCCTGGAAGAACCTCTGCTTGATTCTGGCGGTGATCTCCTCCACCAGGTTGATGCTCGCCTCACTAACGTTCATGCAGTCGGCCCTCAGGTACTCCGCGAAGTTCCGGACGAATAGTGACAGTTTCTCCGGGTTCCTCTCCAGGGCTGTGAGTAGGCAGGTCCGTCAGGTACGAGCCTCGTAGGCAGGGTGCATTTCTCGTCGTGTGATGTCAGCTTCAGCTAAACCACGTGACTTTACGGGGGAGGAGGGATCAAAATATGATGGGGTCCCAAAAGAATGGACAGTCATTTGGAGTCCATAGGAATCCAATGACATTTATACCACGCGGTAATAATATCATGGTGCTCCTATCGACCAATAATCCTCCTGATCTTTCTGGGGTGCCATGACATTTGGATCCCCACCTCCTCATTAAAGTCACGGGGTTTGGGCACAGCCCGACACAGCCCCTTACGGTTGGACGTGAGGAGCCCCTCTCGCGAGAGGACGCCCGTCAGCGTCGCCACCCTGGGCACCGCGGGGTCGCGGAGCAGGCTCTCCGGGTGGCGGGACAGCTCCCTGGGCTCGGCGTCGGGCGGCCGCAGCTCGGGCGAGAACACGAACGGGTTGTGCTTCAGACCCCAGCCCTGCCGGAGAGGACGCGATGGTGTGATGTGCGTTGATGTACGTTTGGTTGCCTATCGCCTGCCGCCCAGGCGCTCGCTGGGCGCACGGAGCTGGCCACTGACCGCCGAGGCGCGGCCACCTACCGAGTTGTAGAACATGTAAAAGGACTCTCTGGCGATGGCCTCGTAAGGCGCCTGCAGCAGGACACGCTCCACGCCGGCCGCGTCCAGGGTGACGTTGCCGGCCAGCCTGGTCGCCAGCGCGCCCGCCCGCTCCATGTTGCGCTCCGTGTAGGCCATGGCGCTGTTGGCCACGCCGCTCAGCTGGATGGCCGCGCGGAACAGGCCTGTCGGCAAAAGGAGAAAATTTCACGAAAAAGCCAAGTGTACGAATGTTGCACACCGGCATGTGAGTGGAAAAAGTCACACATCTGTAAATGTGAGAATGACCCTTTTCACTGTTAGGGAAGGGGTTGTATAGCCATCTTTCAAAAAGGGTACGAATCTATAGTGTATTTCGACTAACGGGGGAAGAAGAGCGGGTAGAACATAAACGTTACCGATTGGTCGAGAGTTAGGGTTGCGAAATTACCGGTAACAATCAATGTTACCGTAAATTATGGTAAAAATCGTAATTTACCGGAAATTTTGGAAAAATTGGAAAAATCAATTTGAAGCAGAAAAATTGGCAATATACTATTTCTTGGCGATCGAAATTCGTGTGAACTGCCTAAAAAGTGACGGAATAGCCGGTCTTAGCTATACGTATTGGAATATTTGTGTTTTTCATCTTGTTCTCATCAACATCAGTTGTATATAGAGTAACCAGAAGTACACCTAT